TCCTATGCACATTCTTAAAATTGGCAAATTACCAGCTGTAAAAGGAAAATAGTGTCTGATTTTATAAATATTTTACCTATAACACTAGATTTGTCACTATATATTTATCTAAAAATAACTGTATTGTAGTTGTAGTTTAGTGCAAGAGCCACTTCGATCTTTTTTTTTTTCTGCGTTTGCATCAATGGCGACTTTGCAAAACAGAAGCTCTTCAGTGGACATATCAGATTTCTTACACCAGTATTACCCATTTTCCTCAGATTGCTTTTGTATTTAATGTTATAGTCAAGATGTGGTAATTTTGTGACTAAGATGAAATGCTATCTCTTTTTTCTTCAGTTTGCTCCATCCATTCCTCTGAGTGTTTGGAGAGGGAGAAGCAGGAGTTGCGTGTTACTCTGGAGGATGCTGTGCAGAAACTGCAGGAGCAGCACCAGAGAGATGTGGCTGAGCTGGAGCAGAAGCTTCAGGCCTTCTACCAGGTTGAGTGGGACAAGGTCCACATCACCTACCAGGAGGAGGCTGACAAGTGCAAGACTCTCATGCAACAACAGGTTTGTTACCACTTTTGTTGTTAACATTTTACTATAGGATTTTTTATGATAGTGTATGTGTAAATTATTTATGTTGCATTATTTACTCTTGCCTCTGAGTCTATATCAATATAATCCAATTAAAATAAGAGGCAGATGAGATTGTGAGACCTGAACGTACACATCTCCTACTCAAGGCTCCACAGGTGCTCTGTGACATGGTTCAAATGTTGCAATCCTCTGGATTATAATGGGAGTTATATGCATGGAATGTATTGAACTTAGACCAGACCAAAACTGTAAACACTTCTTAAGGAATTCTTAATCCATTTTACAGTCATGTGAAGGGACTGGGGGGACGGTAGGTGTGTATGTATGTGTATGTACTGTATATATGGATATGTGTTTCTGTGAATGGATCAGTGTACTGTATAGGGTCAACAAAACAGAGTTTATTGTCTAATTCTCATGTTTTCTTTTCTGTTGTCTTAGAAAGGCCCCATTAGGGATGGGCATTGGAAATAAACTGTTGCAGTGCACTTGTCTATGTATTCAATTTCAACACACGTTCTGTGCTTCAGGACAAAATGCCAAGTACTTCCTAATGATCAACAGTGCTGTGGGTCCAAATAACGTGTATCATGTTTTTTTTAAAGATGGGAGAGCTTAAGGCCAATCATGAAGCCATGCAGTTGGAACTACAGAGCAGCCACGCAGAACAGCTGCAGTGTGTTAAAGAGCAGTATGAAATGTCACTGGAAGGTGAGTGGACAGGACTGACACAGAGTATTCAAACTATATCCTCTTACTTATTAGAAACTGACTCCAGCTGGGATTAACTTTGGATATCCTGCCTAACTTAACTAATGAATGTACATCATAAATATATTATTGCATCAAAACATTAAATTATGTTTAACTTTGACCTTTATTGAACAGACTTTTCTCAAATATTTGGAATGTCCTAATATCTGTACATTTTTCAGAACTCAGGAAAGTTCACATTCAGGAGCTGCAATCTTTGGACAAAACTCTGAAAGATACCGAATCTTCTCTATCTGTAAGTTCATTTTTTTCAATGCCACAAGAATAAATTATGATTTGTCACAACTAGTGCATAATAACTTAACTCAGTGACTTTGTGTTCCTCCACAGGGACAGGTTCAAGAGCTGACCATGGAGAACAATGCCCTAATAGAGAAGCTAACAGCAGAGGAGAAGAGGAGGAGGGAGCTAGCTGAAAAGAGTCTGGTACTCTTATCTGTGTGCTTATTTTAGCAGAGGTCCACTTTAGAAACATCTCATGATTCTGAGGTTGTTTATCCCTGAGGTGGGAAAACCATGACGCCAGTGATCCTCATGCAGATAGTTATCAACAAAACCAAAAATCATTGCATGTTTTCTTGAAAGACTTCAGTAGTTTTCTATTAGATCAGTCAACCATTAACCTTTCTTTATCATGTAGATTGGTGTGAGCTGCAGCAGCAGTTTCAACTCTGCTGCATCACTCTGCTGCCCCTTCTCACTGTCCACATTGTGCGTTTTAATCTTCCCAGAGTGCTGTTGTACAGCCAGGCTGCCACTCCTCATCAGTGTTGAGTGGCCTGTCTCACATACTCAGCATTCTGGCCTCAAACGAACATCGCTTGCAACAGATCAATGCTATATACTGACCATTTGAAAACTAATAGTAGTCAAACATCATTTACATGTTTGTAATATGAGTCATTATCCACAGTTTTAATGTCCCTCTGAGCCCAGAGCATTAAATATTTTGTGTGTAATGGATGGCGTCTTCTGATGTGAGGTTCTGGAATTTATGACCACATGACATTTATGCTGCTTGCTGTATTAATGTGCTCATTTTTGAGGTCATAATATTCCTTGAACATCTTGACTCTACAGAAAGACTCCCACACCCTGTATCTGGAGCAGGAGCTGGAGAGCCTCAAAGTAGTGCTGGATATCAAAAACAAACAGCTCCACCAGCAAGAGAAGAAGCTGATGGAAATAGACAAACTGGTGAGAACTGATGTACAAGAAAATGATTTCTGGGCATCAAGACAAGCACTGCTACTGACATTAATAAAAAAATCTTTGAATCAATCAATCATTCTTTCTCTTTTTTCCTCCAGATGGAGAAAAATGTGAAATTGGATGAGAACCTGAAGAAGGTCCAGCAGGAGAATGAGGACTTCAGAGCTCGCATGGAAAGACACGCTGCGTTGTCAAGGTAACCGTTCACCAGATGAGCTCATATGAAGTGATGGAATCTATTTGTCTCTGACTCCTTATGCATTAATAATCTTTTGACTGCCTGCATTCAATTAAGTGCTTTGCCATAGACCACCATTATTTTCCAAAAACTATTGATTAGTGATTCACTGGGTGACATGTTGCTTCATTATTGTGCACTTTAGCTTGGTTCTAATTTTGAATAATGTTCTAGTCCTACATACTCTGTCCTGCTGCTGTGAATACTCATTATTAAACCAAATAACTGGGGTCTGTAGCACCTTTCATACCTGCCTTCAATTCAGACTAAACTGAAAAGTCTGACGGTCCAGACCAAAAAAAGTAGGCGTGAAAGCAGAAGTCTGACCCAAATAAATCAAATCCTTATCAATATACTGTTGAGCACTTTTGTCTGTCTCCAGATCATTTCTTAAGTTGTTTGTTGTGTTGATGCTTCACAGACAACTGTCCACTGAGCAGACGATGCTGCAGGAGTCTCTGCAGAAAGAGTCCAAGGTGAACAAACGTTTGTCCATGGAGAACGAGGAACTGCTGTGGAAGCTCCACAATGGAGATCTGAGTAGCCCCCGCAAGGTGTCCCCAACCTCCACCTCCCCCTCCTTCAGCCTTCAATCACCTCGCAGCTCCGCCTTCTTCTCCAGCCCCCCTGTCTCACCCAGATAACGATGGCCCCCTGCTTCCAGGAAGCAGACCATCACTTGTGAGTTATCCCTCTCAAATATGGAGCTGTGTTTGTTTCCTGTTCGTTTAGCAACACAACAGCCTGACCCTAGCTCCTACAGGATTGGATGAACTCTGACACTTTCTGTACAGAGTCGCTTGAGACATTAATTATTAAAAAAAAGATGTTGCACAGAAGCACTTATACGCAAGGCGTCCTTGTTCTTTGCCTTTCACTTCTGAAACTATGGATGAGGGAAACGAAATCTCAGGACTTCTATGTAATCAAACACTATTTTTGTTAACTTTCCTTTCCTGAAGCTCACGCACACAGTATGTTTACGCCCGTGCAGATACAGCCCTGTGGTGTGAGGGGGGGCTTCTGTGTCTGTGGAGACCACAGCCATGTTTGAATAGAAGACACTGTCCTCTATTCAAACACTGTCCCTCCTCAGAGAAAATATTTCTATCCTAACTACATATGAAGTTGCTTCTGTTAGAGTCCTGCACCATTTCTCACAGCTTAGTGCTTAAGGGCAACAGATAACCTGTCATATTACTAACATCCCTCTGTTGGTCACTCAGTACACCAGTGCTGCACATGCCCCTATCTAAACAGAGGAATGTTCACACTCATATGCAGGCTGTTCTGCCCATAGTGCTCATTATCTTTTTTTGAAAGGTCAGGATTTGTCTATATCGACAGTTTAAATATCATCTCTGGCCTCAAACATCTTTTTTTCACGTTTGTTTGTTTGACCAAGGGACCAATTCAAGTCTTTGTGCATGTGTTTGAGCCTTGTCAATCACCCGTCACTGAGCCCTCCTCCTAACGCAGCTTTAATTCCAAGGTCTTTGCAAATAGTTAAGCAGAATAAGCCTTGTACATGTCAGATACACTGCATATTGGAAATGTCTCAAAAAGAGTATTTTGTGTGGAATTGATATTATTGGTGTGTTGAACCAGTTTGAAATATGCAAATAATAAAGTCTTGTATTAAACTTGAAGTTGGGCAGTTACATAATCTCACAATTAAAAAAAAAAAAAAAATAGAAGCTACTTTTATCTGCATATGTTGTTAATTTATTCAGATTAAGTTCTGTAGGTTTGTCTTGAAAAGTTACATCACAGGAATTTCCTGAGTTTCCAAACTCAGCAGGTTTTTATCTCAGTGGAGTTAATGTTCACATCAGTCCAGTCTGGTGACTGATGCTCGGATCAAATGTTTCACTAAACCACACAACATTCTCATCTAAAGTATTTTTCTAAATCATAACAACCAGCAACGATTCAGTGCAGCAAGTGTTGCATTGGACCACAGTGAGTTCTGGGCCTGCACATCACATTCCACATATGGAGAACATTAGGACGTCAGCCTGGTACACTGCTCAGCTTTAAACCAGAGTCTGAAGAGATTTGTTTTCGTTGGTGTTTCTTCACTGTCGCACTGCTGCTGCTTTGAAACTTTAAATGAGGCTTCAACTTGATGCTTTTAAAAGTTAAAATTAACTCTCAAGTCAAGTACATAGCAAATCTTTATTATTACCATGTGCAGTCTAGTACATGTTGATTTCATGTGGTCTCACTGTTTGGTGTGTTACAATTAAATCTAAACAAGATGAGGAAAACACTTCAACATTAAAAATAATCCTCATTGTCTGGACTATTTGGAGATGTTGATGGTCACGAACGTCTCACCGTGCTGGTTTTTGGCTTTACAGACGTAGTTTCCAAAGTCAATGGTCTCCATGTCCTCCACGGTCATGACACTTTGGGAGACCCGTGTGATGTGACCCATTCCACGGTTAACTAGCCGCCAGGAGGTGAAGATGTGAACGGGACGAAGGTCCTACACGATAAAACAAACATGGCTGCTGTTTAATCTGCGAGTTTAATCATGAGAACTGGAATATCAGATTATCAAAAATAAAAAACTAACTTTAAAGGTGTGACTGGTTATTCATCAGAATGATCATCACTGTTACAACTTAACAACAACAGTCAATCACATTGTTTTACCTAAATTATACGAGACAAACTGTAAATCACACAGTCGAAATGTGAACAGTTACACTTTCATAATTATCTAACATTGTTAGAAAATATTTCATTTGGCTGTGGATCAGAGCGGGTCGTCCACTAACCATATGGCTGACAGTTTGATCCCCGTCTCCCCCATTGCAAATGCAGACGCACTGTGTGAATGTGGGTGTGAATGAGTGAATGGCAAAACTGTAAAGTGCTTGATTCTGTCTTTAACTTATGACTTGATCATCAACTCAATTGTACTGGATCTGCTAAATCCAGATATTTAACTTCCTGCTGTTTACACGGTGTCTGAAATCATATTCTATCTGATATTTATTTAAAGACATTTCTATCTAGTGAATTTGTTCATGGAATAGAAACAACAAAATCCTTAAAAACTGAAAACAGAACTGTCACTTGGTACATTACATTAATTCTTATGAGCTATGTCATATCTTAATTTTTGAAATCTTTCCAGTTAGCAGTAAGTATAATCTCTATTATCGGTGGTAGATTGGTCGTCTTCGGTTTATACCATGTGACTTTGAGCGTGCACTGTTCGTCTTACCTGACCAGGATAAGACCACACAAAGCTCACGTCCACCTCGGGCTCCCCCAGCGCGACGCATGTTACATTCATGTTCTCGCCTCCTCTCACAGACCCTGGAGACAATTCTAGGCTCGCAAACGGTGGACTACTGGGAACTGTCAGCACAAGAAAAGGCAAAGAATTTCTCATCATGTGTCGTTTACACAGAGAAGTGTATCTATCCACAGTGTGTTGGGAGTTATTGTGATATCAGCTGCTGAAGGCAACAAGCTCATGTGGAAGTTGATTTCATTTTCAGATGTCAAACTTGATGCTGAAACATTTAGTCCTCATGGAAGCTAAATTTAACCTAAAGCACAATTTCAATTGATTGAATCCCTCCTCCCACTTTGTTTCCATTTCAGCTGGCATGTGTCCACATAAACTGAGCGGAGCAGTGAGGGGCGCCGAGGCCTCGGACAGCTCTGAAATACAACCTTTTTCCTAGAAGCTGACGAAGCAGAGCGAGAATTTGATTCATGACTTTGTGAAAACGCCTCTCACTGTGGTTGCTGGTCCTTTTAGTAAAGTGACAGGTTATATGGTTGTGTTTGACAGTCAAAGATTCAGGTAAATTGTTGGGGCAGCATTATACAGTGTGTCAGTGTGTTTATGAGCACATTGTGTGATTGCTCTGTTCCTACCCTCCACGTAGAGGAGCTGGTACTTGGTGGAGATCTGAGGGGTCCCCTTGGCCACAGCCTTGCAGTAGAACACTCCCCGGAGCTTCGGATTGGGCTTCTGCAAGACGAAGCCCCTGGTGGGCTCGTAAGTCACAAGGGTCTCGTTGGCTGGGATCTCCTCCGGAGGGACTTCTCTGTGCAGGGTCACCTTGGCCTGTGGGTCGGTCACACGACAGGGCACCACAGCAGGGCTGTTCGGGCGCAGGTACACAATCTCAAAGTGGATGGTGGAAGGGACGAAGAGGTTGTCTTTGTCTTGTCAGACAAAAAAAGGGGCCAAACAATTAGTGGTACATCTATGCAAATAAGTTGCACATGTATTTTCTCCTTTTATTACTGTGTAACAAAGCACTTGAATCGAAATGGGCGGTAAAGCAGCAGCAGGGAAACATCTGCTGATCACTGACACTCCAAACAGAAACCCTGGACTGACTGAGAGCGCTGAAAGCTGATATACAGACAGGTTATGATAGAAGTAGCTTTCATTCATTAGCTTCAAAGGATGATGGAAATCCTGGAAATCTTTGTGTCCCCCTGAAAGGCGACACTTAACTCTGATTGAACGGATAAGGGTCTTGAAATGTTTGTATTTCTAACACAGTCATTACAGTGAATTCACTGTTTGCACTGTGAGAAAATAAAAATCTGCCAACATCTTCAGCAGCTGTGTATTTATACAAGACAAGACATTAAACCGCAGTCGGTTAATTCATAGTAAAACACAGCTCGGCTTTTCAGTGGGATATATTATGGGTTTCAAACAGAAACAGATGTTCTACAGCAGGGCTGATCAGCCTTGCTTCCTGGAGTTTCACATTCTTTCACTGCAGCACTGCAAGACTCAAATGACCGAGAAGTATTTATGAATTTAATTTTAAGAAATCCTTTCTTTGTAAACACAATAGTGATAAACGTGTGGTAAGCCTTCGGAGTAAGTGAACTGATGTTTGAATTTTGATTTACTCCCATAACCTACCACTGGAGTGTCATGTGATGGCAGGTCTTAACCATCATGTGTCAGCATTGACTTAATTCACATAGTGTATGGACACCACACCCAGCAGTAATGTCAACTATATAACCAAAAGTCAGAACTTCAACACAATATTACAAAAACCACAAAAACAGACGTGTCTAACTCAGACGCTTAACAGTCACACTCGTACTCCTACTGTCCAGTCAGAGTGACCAGATAACTGATCGCTACAATAGAGTCACTATGAAGTTGATTTTGCTAAAGATTAATATCTAGTTCCCTCTACACATCTAGCAGACCAAGAGGCATATGATTATTTATTTGGAGTCATGTTTGAATCCACCTGTTAAATGCTCATCCAATACTCACTCTCTTTTTAGCTCTGCTTTGGTCTCCAGCAGCTCCACAGAGAAATGTCTGACTTCTTGGCGGCCAAATGGGATGTCGTTGTCACCAGCTACTCTCAGTGTGTGTCTGTGTGCAGGTTGGTGTGCGGCAGGTTGTGTACACAGGGTTTATCTGAGCTTTTTTGTGTCTGCTGTTGCTGAACATTACAGGCTGTACGTTTCAAAACAATGAGCTTTAAAACTGAAAGGCTCCACAGAGGTGAGGGGGTGTGCCAGGTCGGGGGGTTTGTCACTCTGAGCGACACCTGTAGAGCCACTGTTTACTTGTGCAGATGTCCCTCATCGTAAATGTGATGGGTACATGTATTTAATCACCTGTGAAGTAGATGTATGAGACATAGGAGTGATCGTGGTCCTTCTCGCACTCGGTCCCATCACACATTATCACCCAGCAGCTGTAGGCCCCTGTGTCAGCAGCAGAGGAGGACGTCAGGATCAGCTGACTGTACTTGTCGCTCTGCTTGATGCTGGAGGGAGGGAACAACAACATAAGATCTTCACATTCACGTCAGCTTACGACTTGACATCGAGCTGATGTCTCGGTGCAGCACCTGAGGCGTGAGTCATTGAAGGTGTCCAGGTAGGTCGGGTATGACCATCCAATGTTGCTGCCTTTGCAGCGCAGCTCCATGTTGCTCCCAGGAGTCAGAGTCGTGGTTTGTCCCAAGCGAAGGAAGCGGCCTTTATCCAAGACCTGCGTCAGCAGGGACTGACCTTTACCCACTACATCCTTAACTTTGGTGGGTCGCAACTTCACCCGTTTCCCTCCCGGCCTGATGCGGTTGTCTCCTGACTCTTTTCTTCGCTTGGGTTGTTGGCAGTCACCTGAAAACACCAAGGCAAAAGAGAAGAGTAAATAATAAAGATAAAAACAGAACGTCAGCACATCTCACTGAGACTGGAAGTCGGTCCTCACTAAACTCCTCTACTCTCTGTGTTTCCACCAGCTGGGAAACAGGAAGTGTGAAATCCTTGTTACTGGCACAAAATGTCCTGTTTTTCATCAGTGGGCACAGAACACAGAAAGCAATGGGAAAAACTCTGTTCCACTACTGCGGAGTTTCAGGGTTTGTTGTTTTATTCCTGAGTGCAGCTTTACTGAGCACTCAGAGAGAAGTCAGCAGCCAAGGCCAGTTAATTAGAAACGCCTGTTGCATGCCTCACATCCACTGAGTTTGAGTAGTTCTGCAGAGACACTCTTCAAAAACTTCATGCAAACCTGCAGAAACCTTTACATGCATTGTGGAAAATTCTAATATAGCAGATATATGGCATTTCATCTGTTTGGAAACAAAGAGAATGACTGACAGTGTTTATCTCTGCCATTTATGGATGAGATTTACCTCTTTGTGAATGCACCTCCCACTCTACAACCCTTCACAGGATGTACACAACGTCAGATTACCTAATCGCCCCTCTACCTCCAGGTTACACTCCAGGACCTCATGATGAAATTAACAGATTCCCTCAGAAATCTACGTCGCAGACATGGAGACTCACTCACCACTGTGGAGCTCCAGCCAAAGCAGTGCCAGACAGAGCAGGACCCAGGACTTCATGGTGTGCTGATGGGATGGTCAGTGGCAGTGACAGCTCTACAGGGGCCGTGGAGATGAGGGGAGGCTCGGTGAAGTTGGAAAGGAGGTCAGGCTCGGAACGTCGCTGGATCTCTGCAGGCTCCAGCTGCCCTGTTCAGATTTCCAGCTCCATCCTCCCCCTCGCACGCTGAGAGGAAAAGGGAAAATTACTTTTTAGAGAACCTTCTGTTTTTTACTCTCCCCTCAGGCCCAGACTCGAGGTTTTGACACATACTCTGGAGCCCTCTGCTGGTTCTGTGTGTGAACTGTGCTGCTTTTTAAAAGGTAAAGCCACACAGACTGAAGCAGATTCCCTGGAGGGCTTCATGCTTCCACATGTTGCTCACCATCCCAGTCAATGATGTCACTGCAGGTGTTAAGTGTTCGGACACTCTTTACAAGCACACGCTGTGACATAACTCAGTGGGGTGTGGCTACTGATGCAATGTGGGTAAATGATTTAAAGCTCAGTGAAGCAGTAGATTTCAACATAGGTGATGAATATTGTCAACAAATCAGCTTTATATTACATTAAATTTCATTTTCCTTTCATTCCATTATATTTCATGGCTTAATTATAGCCTTGATCTGGTTCCAGATGTTCATAGTGACAGAGGATCACACCACATGGTTGACAGGAACCATCTTCTTTTTTTTTCAAACCTACATTATTGTTCAGGAATGCTTTTTTATATGAGCAAATTTACAGAACATGTGTCACTTCACAGCAAGGGGGTTCCTGGTTCGAATCCAGGTTCTGCTGTGGTTTCCTGAGGATTTTCAGTTTACTCCCCATGTCTGTGTGGGTTGTCCACAGGTGTGAATGTGAATGTAAATGGTTGTTTTTCTCTGTATGTTGGCCCTGTGATACACTGGTGATCTGTCAAGGGTGTGTACCACCTCTCATCTAATCTTAGCTGGGACTGGTTCCAACCCTCAAAGACTAAGTGGGATGGTGGATGGATAGCAAAGATGCCAAAAACAGGATATCAATCGAACAGCTGCACATTCTCAAGAGATATTTGCTTTCTATCTGGCAATGAGATTAAGCCACTGGCTCATCTCACCCAAGCACAAAATGGAGCTCTTTGGGCTGAGCAATATTACTCAAAATAATCAAGAGAACAATTTTCACATCAGTCAATATTGATAATTATCACAATAAATGTCACATTTGTAAACAGGGGATAATCACCATCTTGTCCTCTATTCTTATTTTTTAAATAATATTTCTTCTTATTATATTAAGCTTAACGACCGAGTGAAGGTTGTGGTTTTGAACTCTTCTTCATTGGCAGAGAATGACAAACACTCGACAGAAGGACAGATGGATGATCCAGAGAATCTGTAACCAGTTGTAGAAAAAAATTTGAAACATGACACAAAACCCCAAATGTCTATTTTGTGAATTAGATGTGTGATAATGTTCATGATCTAATGTAGAAGCATAGATCCAAAGGAGGTGAAAAATAAATGGGCCAGGTTTAATTAGTCATAAACATATTTACTCACCCCTCCTATGTGAAAGGATGTGTGATGTATCAAACAATCAGAAGTTATATGAGCAAGAATGTGAAGTCATTTCTGAATGGCCATGTGTTGCTGCCATAGCAATCTTTCTACTAAAGGACAAACAAGATGAAACACCTTTTTAAAGGGTGTTTTTTGAAAACATATTTATTGTATTTGTCTGTGCAGTTGATACCAATGATACAACTCCCTGACTACTTCTATCTGCTTTATCCTGTTACTTCCCTGTTAATGTAGAATACACACCTCTGTCCTGCTGAAACAGCATCTGAATTAGTTCCCTATTTATTAAGACCACTTCACACATCAGTCACCAGACATGCAGCCACCGTACCTGACCTCTGGAAAGGTCAGAGGTCAGACAGTAAACAGGTTTCTCCTGTAAACCAGAGCTCACTGAGCCTTTCAATTCATAGTACAAGTAAAATCCAGGTGGCCCCTGACAGCCCAGAGGAACTGATGCTATCTCTGCATCAAGTCAAAACACACGTTGAAGTGAGACACTAAACACAAAGAGGAGAATCCTGGAAGAAAATGCCCATTTCATTTAAAATATGCTGCAGAAACAACATTAGTGTACTTAATACTTTCACTTGTAATTCATTGTTTTGCCTCTTGTTAGGTGGCACACTAGTTAAAATAATATCATGAAGGTGATATCAACAGAGAGTCTGCGACGTATCAGAATAACACAAAATGATCCTATCCTATTATTATTAATTATTATTGACAGATGAAAAAACAGTGTTGTGATCTGACAGAGTGAAGAAAAAGAAACATCTAATACTTTCTGAGTAAAGTTCTGTCTTATAACAATCCTCATATTGAGATTTTATAGTTCATACATAAACCACACCCAAGTAAGAGTAAAAATTAAACCTGTGCAGAATTAAAACCACCACTACAGCTACAGAGATCTCAATAAGTACAGTAAATATTGCTATGATTCTGTTACCTACACAGGCCGGAATTTTTCCCATCAGTGTTTGGCCAAATGTTAAGGTCACTGACGTACAATCACAACATGGTGCCTACAAAACTATTGTACATTGGTCTAAATGCCTCAGTGTTCTATGATCTTTTTTATACAGATATCACCATTTCACATTTATGCATATGCAACACCAATGCACACACCACCTCTAATATTCTATAAATAACATTGGCTCTGTTTCTGCCTTAAACAAGTGCTTTAACCAACATTACATAAAATACAAATACATAAGTGATGTATCAAAATCTAATAATATCCTGGACCTTCGAGAGGATCCCACAGATTTCAAAGAGTAAAAACCGACAGGAAAGACAGTGTGTCATGCATTAAAAACTGGAGTCCATTATGAAACAGAGAAGTGTCACTGCAGTGTTCAGTGCTAAAGGAAATGAGCGTCTCTCTCTGGTGTAAGTTCTGTGCTGCCTCCATGTTGTCCATGAAAGACCATGTGACGTACAGGACGGTCTCATCATGATGACAGAGCAGCTCTCCATCACGCTGACACAGAATACTGACACTGCCTTTCTGACAGGCTCAATGTGCTCGTGACTGAAGCCCGCACGGTGAAGCAGTATATACAGGTGCATGAAGGCAGAGCTGCTGTGTGCTTTTATGCATCTGTTGCCTCGCAGAGTCTGTGACCGAGCTGGAAACCTTTAACACTGGCTCGTCTTCTCTGGGAAGAGGAAACGCTCCTGGTCTTTTCCTGCAGCACCCACACCAGCCTGCTTCTCCCTGCTGCTCTTGCTCTGCTCCTGGGTTGTGTTACTGCTGCTTAGAGAGCGTTGGAGTTGCCGCTGGCGCTCCACACTGTGCCACATGCCATAGCCAAAGTATATCAGGAAGCCTGAGAAGGGGTGACGGCAAATATATGAGGTGATAAAAACACAGGCTATTAATGGAATAGCTATTCTCAGGATTCAGCCACCAGCTCGTCTCACCAACAGCAAAATGAAGCTTCAGCCATTCATTTGTGCACACTGTCATCAGACTATACAACTGCAGTGGACACATGCTGACCACTGAGTACCTCCACCACTGATTTAGAATTTTTTTACCAAAAACATATATCCAATGTCATACTGCAACAATATATTGTCTGTTGCATTTGCACAAATGTATATTCCAGTATTTAATTGCCGGGTTAATTGTAAATAGTTTTTAATATCTGTGTTTGCTTGTTTGTTAGCAGCATGACACAAAAACTACTGGACAAATTACCACCAAACTTGGGGACTGATATCTACGTGTGTTTGCAGCTTGATTGAATAAAAGGGGACTGTAGGGCCATGATGGAGGTGTGTACTCTACCAGTTCTCTTCTATTTTTATTAGATTTTTTTTTACCTGTATTTCGTCTTGGGCTGCTGTAATACCCACATTTATCCTAATCAATAAATCATAAATGACTGCCAGCAGATAGCTCAGCATAGCGTAATGACTAAAAGCAGGGGGAGACTGCTAGTCTGACTCTATCAAATGTCTGGATTGTTTATTGAGTACAAAAGTTCAAATGTAAATATGACAGGAAACCTCACAACAAAAGTACAGGAAGTCTGTTTATCCATTACAATCAGCCCACGTCTCAAAATGTGTACAGCTACACGGCAGTTCATAACTTTAAAAGACACTCACCCACAGCCATCCACACAGAGAAACGTATCCACGTATCTCCACTCAGCTGAACCATGAGGTAAATGTTGACAAAGATGCTCAGAATGGGCAGAAAAGGCAGAAGAGGAACCTGTGATGATGAAAAGCACATGTAACACTCAGGTTTGATGTGTTTGATTAACCTTGTTCCATGATGGAGGACTTGGATCGAAAACCAGCAGACGCATTGAGCTTCTACTCACCATGAAGGAGACCTTCTTGCTTGTCTGAGGCTGCCTGCAGACCATGAAGACGCAGCCGCTGAAGATGAGGAGACACACACACAGCAACGCCAGGATCCACACCTCCGCACGAAGGATGCAGCTGATGTGGTACGTGGTGAGATAGCTGACCACGCACACAACCAGCACTGTGGTTTAAGAAGACATGATGAGACAGAGAATCAAATGTTAAACAGGCTACAGTCTTTACAATACATCGTAAAAAATCATTTGAGCCAGAACTCGAATATGACAATGTTAAAAGCAGGATGCCAACCGAGTACACAGATGGACATGTTGACCACACTGGAGGAATGTTCAGAGGGTGAGACAGGCGGGTGCAGGACAGTCTGCAGGGTGGAGCTGCCGCTCTTCAGCATGTGGAGGTGGGACTCGGACTCTGTCAGGTCTGACTCGCCCTCTGCAGGCGACAGGTAATCCCTCTCACCTGCACGCCGCTCCAGAGATCCGTCCGGCTGATATCTGGACAAAGGTTAAAGGTCATATGTTACTAATTTTCAAATGCATTATTGCAGACTCCTAAGCCAAGATTGTCTGTCCCTCTAGAGAAAAAGACACAATGGAACACCAGTTGAAGCGGGAAGTAAACATCAAATAAATGTATTTTCACATGTCCAAGTTCTAATGTTTCCAGTAGGTTTGTTTTGAAGTTGTTAGTTGATGCTTAAAACAGGGTGACATGTCGTGACACGACAAAGGACATTAAAAGCCATATGGCATTAACTGTATTTGGGATATTTCATCTTCATTCTTTTGGCAGAGGGAGGAAATGAGGTCCATCTAACGTCTATGGTGTAAATCAATGACAAGATATTATCTCAAAATTTAGAGATAGTAAACCCCTTTCGTTTATGTTTGAAAGCTGCACTGCTGCCAGCTCAGTTGTCTAATCTCTTGCCAGAAAAACATCAGCTTGTCATGGTGGGCCATGACTTTTGTTTATGTTTGGCGTCATGCACCAGGACTTCCTGGAGGCAGAAATCAGAAATCTCAGCCACAAAGTCGTGACCCCCAATTTAGACTGGAACGGAGCGTAGCCTGCAAAACTGCACTACTTTTTCATTTCTCTCGAATAGCTTCAGGTCTTTTTTTACTTTACAAAACAAGTGAGGCCTGTGAATCTGGTTCAAACCAGAAAAGGAACACAGCGTCAGTGTCTGCTGTGGCTGTGGTGATGAATCACCCCGGTGTTACCAATAGAGGTGCACAGCAAGTACAGAGGTAGGCAAGTACACAAACCAAAGTCAACACCTTAATTCAGTCAAGCAGCCACTTCACATTCATACAATGGAAGCATTCACAGCTCTTACATCACCAGTAACCGGGCATCATACCTGTGGGCTCAGAGAAAAGCTCACGAAAGCTATTTCACAATACTGCACAAATAAGTTTTCTTTCCTAATTTGTAGTGACTTTCTATAAATGTACCCACCTGAGGATCAGTACACAAACAGCGACCAGCGAGTAGGCCAGCAGGGTTCCAATGGACATCATGTCAACCAGGGCTTTGAGGTCAAACAGGAAAGCCATGATGGCTGCAGCGAGCAAAACAAATAAACACAAAAAGAGCATGAAATAGATGAAACCATACATTTCAAATACTAAAAGTTGAATTTGATATACATGAACAAAAGAGCAACAATAATATTCTTGCAATTACAAAAAATGCAACATCCAACAAACGCACATCAACACAAACAGATGCAGATTAAATTTCATGCAGACATATTTTCACAAGAGACAGTGACGAGCTGCCAGCTGTGATTGTCTCCATACCATGTTTGGTTTGATGTGAGACACTGTGGCGGTGCCTCTCATGTATCCCCGCACATGACTCCAGTATGGAGCTTATCTCAGCTGTGCAGCTCTAACACAGAGCAGTAGTACGTCCGCTGCGCCTCACAAATAACAACTCTCTCTGACCAGGTGTTCAGTACATGGCCTGCGGTGGTGTCCGAGGGTTCACATCTGCCAGCCCCTTCCCCAGGTCATTCACCCTGCAGGTCTTAAAGCCTCAGTGCAGTGAGCAGGATGTGACTATGAACTGAACACCTGGGTCCTACTGAGCAGGAAGCCTGTACAAGTAGGCGTTCTTCACTCTGTATGAGCACCACCACAGTCATCACAGACCACAGTGTTTGAATCTCTCTCTATGTGTGTCTATGTGTTTGTGTCTTATGTCTTATGTAGGTCATATTGCGTTAGATGTTCACATTGTTTTTTATATTTTTAAAAGATGTAATAATTAACAAGAGGGGAAGTGGTCCACTGACTCAAACAGAGCAGACAGGAAACATTAAACCCCGCCTCCTGCAGCAACTTTTAAAATGGATTTAGAGGAGGCCGAAACTCAAACATAATGATGTAGTGTAGTAATTTTACTTTTAATACTTTATGTTACGTATAAATGCAAGTACTTACTTAATTGAAGTAGAAAAGTAAATGTGGTACTTTTAATATATGTTTCAGTACTTCCAACACTGTCTAATTATCCCAAAAGTACTGATAGATCCAGAGCAGCTCTGTGAAGCTGTGCTTAGGGATTGGCTCTTTGAGGAACATGCTACAGTACAATAATGTTCACCATGTTCACCAGCTTTGCATGATAGGTAACATTTTGTATGGTACAGTTATTTTGACAAATTCTGGATGAAAGGTCAAAGGTTAACCAAGGTTATTACAGTTAATCATGAGGGGCCAATAGTTGCAATATCTCAGCCTGTGGTGGACCACTGATTAACTGACCGACTGACTCTGCATTCTTAAAGGGGCTGCTGCTAGCATGGCTACTCCACTACACTGCACACGTTTCCAGGAGCTAAGTCTCTCTTTTTTATTTTTTAGCCAGGTGGACAAGAGAACTCTTTAAAAAAAACAAAAACAACCTTAATAATGACTAATGTTTTGTCACATGCTTTAAATCACCACCACTTAACATGCAGCCATCACCACCTGACGACGTGTGCACAAAGTTTAATTAAAAACCCAAGCAAGGCCACATCACAACCCCAATGAGAGGCGAGTCCTGGTCGCGGGAGCTTACCCGCAGTGGTACCTGCCGCCATGGTGGCAGCCACAGGTGACTGGCGCTTACTCACTTTGGACATAAATTTGAACAGAATACCGTCTCGTGCCATGGCAAAGAGAATGCGCGGCAGAGGGAACATGGAGCCCAACAGGCTAGGGAGAAGAGGGTTCATGGTTAAGATGAGGGCATTCTGGGGAAAAAAAAACATGACACCTGCACAACTGTGAAAGAACAACACGTCTATGGCAGGAAAACCTCTCATGAAATGAATAATTCAAAGCAGAACATTAATAAAGTAGTGCAATTTTAGGATGACTGTAGTACAAGAAATTTAGAAACCAACAGATTCCTCTGCGTCTTTCACAGTTGATTGGTGGAGAAAGATTAGCATCTCACTTGGACGCCCCCCGGCTCTCACCTGCTACTACACCGGAGGTCATAGTGGCAATAAGTGGGGTCTTCGTCTTAGGATTGATTCGGGCTAAGACTTTGAAAAGCACCCCATCCTCTGCCATAGCATAGATTACACGAGGCATAGGGAAAATGGAGCCCAGCAGGCTGCGTGAAACAGCAGAGACATGCAAGACCAACACGTTAGTCAAGAGCGCCAAACAGACACACAAAACACAGAAGCACAAACACACCACACATCAACAGTCACATCTTTAAAGCTTCAGAGCATGATTCAAATCAATTAATGTCTTTCTTTCCTGTTGGTATTTGTCCTCTTGTATCATCATTTTTACCGTCCAGTCATTTACATCAACTTAAAGACACTTAATGGAGGAAACTAAAACATTTCTGATGTCTTTCATCGTCTGTCCTTCTTGTGTGAAAGTTAAGTTGCAGTATTTCATAAGGAGAGACTCTTTGAAAACTGTCTTTTTGCTAAATAGTGAATCAAACTGTTGGAGGACGGCCAACTGCTGTGACGATTTCTGCAAGAATTTACTGATTTGATTTAATTGGCTGGAGTGAAATTTGAATATATGCACATGTGTAGATCAAGGGATAAGAGAGTGACTGACGTCCACCAGGGTTTGTTGACAGAAAACTTAAGGTGAACTAAAACCCTCAGGAAAGAAGGACCAAATTAAGATGCACCAACATTTAGAGATAAACTTGCCCACATTATTTATTAGAGATGTTCAGATACAACTTTCCCTTGCAGACAATGATTCTCATACCTGGACTTTGTATATACCAAGTACCGATCCAAAACTAGTGCATTTCAAAACAACTTATATAACCTATTTTAACAGCTGTATGCTATTAACCCTTTATAGAGGTGATGATGGCTTTCATTGTTATACAGCATATTACTAGTCTTGTATTTGGCAACACTAGGGCCACCCTTCAAAATAAAAGTCTTATCAGTGTTTTACTTGTGGGACTTTCCTGGGTGTAATATTGCCATATTGCTGACATTTTAGTTAGCTGTGGCTAATGCTACACTGCCGGATATCACTTCTTCACTGCTCTAAAAACAGTACTTGCCAGTGGCACGCAGCACAACTGCTGTCTTGGAGTGGAAAATATGTAGTAATTTGCATGAAAAGAAAATTGCAGTTTTATCTGGGTGAAACTCATAAACGTTAAAGACTTAGTATCAGATCGGCACATAGATTTACATACTCGCCAATGCCTGACCCTGTATTTTGGCAGTATTGCAGGGGATTTTATGAAGCTGGTATCTGAATATCTCTATAATTTATGATACCTGAATTATATAAAATACATTATAAAGACATGAAGGTATCTCAAAGGAGAATTAAGCACTGCATCCACTAAGCCCCACTAAGCAACAGGAATCAATCCAATAACAAGACAATGACAGAGATATATGGTCACAATTTAGACCAGATCTCATCACCATTATCACCCATCTACAGCATGCACAGATCAAAGTAATACATTCTGCTGACTCAGATACAGTGAAGCTAACATCCAAATGATTTAATCTGTCTTGAATAATGATAATTGGTTCTTAACTCAGTTGACATGAACGTAACTGACGGTTACCTGGTAGAAAGGGCACAGAGTGAACCCACAGCCACCACATATTTGGCAGGACCCCACCCCACATATTCAAAGGCCATGGGCAGAGGGCTCTTCTCATCCAGTAGGTAGTAGGGCATCATGAGGGTGAGTGCAGCTGACACGCCAAAGTACGCCAGGAAACACACGGTCAGTGACACCACGATGCCGATGGGAATGGCCTTCTGCGGGTTCTTAACTTCCTCACCTGAAACACACACAGAAACATTAACATTCAGCTTATAATGAATTCAGTCAAACTGAATCACAGTCTATGTAAGGCTCACCTGTTGTCGCAATGCAGTCAAATCCAACAAAAGCATAGAAGCAAGTGGCAGCTCCAGCCAAAGTCCCGCTGAAGCCGTACGGCATAAATCCTCCAACTCCATAGTCACTGCTAACGTTGGCCGTGACTGACAAGTTTCTGAAACACATCAACTGCTATTTCATATTTTCATAACGATATTGAATACATTTGAGTTATAAGCTGCCTCTTGTCTGAATAAATTACCTTCTTACTATGGTCACATTTATGAGGGATTCTTCACTTATCTCCCAGTTGTATGTGTCTCCTTTGACAAAGCCGGAGATGATGACGAACAAAAGTACGAGTACATTGACTGCAGTGAAAACTTTATTGACCCAGGCTGATTCCTTCACCCCAAATGACAAAAGCCCTGAAGAAACACAAGACAACAACAATGACAACACGCTGATGCTGAGCAGCTGCAATCATCACTATTTTAACTTTTCTTCTATCCATCCATCTATATATACACTATCTACACGCTAATTCATGGCAATAAAATAACATTATATGAAATGTCATAGTTTGACATTTGTACAGCTACAAGTAAAACTGATGGAACTGAGTGTAATATACTTTATGAAATTGTTTAAAAGGATTAATGTCCTTTGTTGCACTGTCTTCCAAACACCAGTGGGTTGTTCCTGGGTCACACTGATTTAATGTAACCATTACATTGACAGGCCAATTGATAAAACACATGATTAACTTGAAAAAGTCATAAAAGTATAGTTTGAATCCCTGCACTGTCATGAATCTGACCACGAGAAATAAATACTTTGTATTCAGCTGAAGATCCAAAACCCTCAGCTGCTTCACTGGAGCATGTCAGTGGTCTGAGGTTGTAAAGAAACTGGCTGTTCACAGCTGTGACTGTGGAAAAGTAGGCGCTGCTGAAGACTAGAAAAATTATCAGGGCCTTTTTAAAAAAGAGTGTGCGTGTGTGCTCCAATTGGACTCACAAAGCCCCGGCCTCCAGCATGCGGGTGCCTTGCCCCGGTGACCACTTACTCAACCAGCTCTTTGATGGATTATGCCAGCTTTGGCTCATGAAATTTGGCTGTTTAAAACAAGATCTGACAATTCTAATTACCACTCTGTTTGAGGTCTTCAGCCTCACATTGGCTGAATTTTATGATTTCTAATTTGCTGCCTTACCAGAGAGCAGCAGTATCAGGCAGACGGCAAAGAAGTCAGGGTACTGAGCCAGACCAGGAGAGTTCATGCTGAAGTAGGTTTTACAAAATATCTCTATGTGTCCTCCGATCATCTCATCGAACGTGCCACTCCAAGCTCTGGCAACCGAGGAGGTACCTGTGAGGAGAACAAAGACCAGCCAGCATGAAAACTCAGTATTGTCTTCGAGTAACATCTGAATCATTTTCAGTAACTCACCAATCACATAGGAGAGAATTAGATTCCAACCAGTGATGAAGGCCCAGACCTCTCCGACAGTCACGTAACTGTATAGGTAGGCAGAGCCTGTTTTGGGGACGCGGGCACCAAACTCGGCGTAACACAAACCGGCCATGACGGAGGCCAGGGCGGCAATTAAAAAAGAGATGACGATGCTGGGGCCGGAGTTTCCTTTAGCCACCTCGCCGGCCAGCACGTAGACACCAGCACCAAGGGTACTGCCCACTCCCAATGCAATGAGGTCGACAGTTCCCAGGCAGCGGCAGAGCTTGGAGTCCTCCAGGTTGCTTAGGTCGACCACTTTCCTGCGCACCAGGGAGCGGCCGAATGACAGAACTTGCTCCAGCATGTTGAAGCCGTCTAAAGGGGGAGAGGGAGAGAAGAACAGACTAGAAATACTTGTGCAGCTCGCCTACTAAGAACAGTTTTATAATTTACAGTGTGTGAGTCTTCTGTAAACTTTCCTATCCACACATGCTGTTTCATGTCCCCCTCCACAAATGATTCTGCTATTTGATTGAATGAATGATATTGTGCATTGCATCAGGTCCTCTACGGTGCAGCAACTGCAGGAATATCTCATCCAGTCATCGCATCTTATCGTTCATATTTGCACTTAATATTAGAAGGAGAAGAATTGTGTAAGCCAAGTTGTGTGAGCTGTGTTTGACTTGGCTCCACCTGCTTTGTATCTTGAGCAGCTTGTCAGAAAATGTTTTTTTAAAATGTCTGTTGCATAATGTGTGAAGACACAAACAATGGTGAGGGTAGGGCTGCAGGGGGAATGTTAACCCTACTAACTATGACATGTATTTAGGAATGCTGCCAAGCACTGTAGCGTGGTAAAGTTCATACAGTGAGTACCACATTAAGATCTATTGTTTGGGCTTATGGTCCAGATCTAAGTACTCAAAGGGCTGCATTCATTAAAGCACCATGAATACAATAAAGACATTCCAGCAGCTCTCTTTACTAATTACATTGAAAAAGATCATAAAAAAAGAAACTGTGAAGTCTCCTTTGTCTCTATTGTCTTGTGTCTAGAAATGTCTCTTTTCATTCATAGGATCAGTGGCATGGTTGCCTAAAATATTTGCATTAATACAATATCATTAAGGAATGAAATATGCCTGCTCTCCAATGAAAAGTTTCAAGTCTGCTTTTGAAGTTAAGGCTCCATCTCTGAACCTAAACTTTGATTTTCTTGAGCGTAAATTTACACTGACGACCGTCCAAAGAAGCACTGATCTCCATATAAGTGTGAATTATCAGACCAAGAGAGATGACAGCCCATTACCATGACAATGTGGGCTGTATTAAAGCATCTCCAAGAACATTGTGGATTAAAACTTGACATCACAGGGAGCAGAAAAATATTTAGTCAGTTTTGGAAAAATAATAAAACATATTGAAGTAATTTATTTTGTCAGCTAAACTGTGAAAATGCAGGATCATTCCAGACTTGTCATGTGCTGTGATCAACTGCACATTTCACACTGTACAGTAACAGCAGCATGAAACACATATGTAACACTTAACATACTGAGGTTTGTTTTCTGCAGACTGCAGATTCACAGTCAACTACTGGAAACTGTTACACTTCTTACATTCATGCACAATCCCTGTAGAAAAAATGTTAAGACTTTATTTTTTACATAAGAGACATGCACCTACCTTTTAGAATGACTGTGTGTGGATATGACTGAAGACAGGCGGATGTCAGACGTGCTTTAATTCCCACTTGCTCCTGCAGGAAGCTCTTCAGCTGATCAGATGCTCATGAAGCACAGGTAAAAGTCAAATTATATCAAATGATCCCATGTACTCAGCCTTCTCCACCAGTCTGCTCCACACTAATTGACTATGCTGGCATGCACAGCCGTTTGCAGAGCAGTATTTTTACTCCTCCCCTCTATGTCCCCACCAGTGTTTCTTCATAGGATCAGCCCTCACATTGCCCTTACACTCGCCTCAGTCAGGGGAGTGACGTCCTAAGAGGGGAGAAGGAGGGGACCCCAGGGAAAAGTGTGTGCGGGGGTGTTTCACCTCTTTGGTTGTGGTTTGGAGGAATATTACTGCGTTGAGGCAACAGTGCACCATAAGCTTATAGGTGCAGTGCAGAGAGAGGTTGGCGATAGAAATGGTGACTTCTAATGTACACTCAGGTCAAATACATCCCAGCTGCCCAGATGCTTACTGACTACTGATAAATGGTTAGGCAACTGACAATGACAAACATTGAGGCAGATCACTGTTTACCCAGTGCGGTCCACAGGAGTGCTGCTAAAAGCATGGGTGCTGATTGGTCAATGGAGGGTGGACGGGCTACGGTGCTGTGGAGGGGTTAAGTCCCCTTAATGGAAGACAGGTATTGCTCAATGTCCCCTGAGCTATTGGACCCATGGACATTGCAAAATCAATAACACGGCTCACCACCAAAAGCCCGGACTCTCCATAGCAACTTCAGTTCCAGGTTAGAGTGCCTCTAAGAGAAAAAAAAGTCAAATTTTTTTCTCCCAAACACTGACTGCGAATTACAACTGAGGTTTAGTTTGCAGGGGCAAGTGTTTCTGCCAAGACCAGCTCAAACCAGCTTAAGACCTCAGTGGGAAGGTGGCAGCTGGCCCCGAGAAACACCGTCCAATCCGCAGACCGGAGAAGACACAGCATGGCAACAGCCAGTTCTCTCTGTTTGTCCATTCAGCCGGCCGGCCAAATATAATGGCCGATCGCCCACCAAATCTTGGCTGCAGGGGCTGATTATCTGACCTGCATGCTGATGGCAAAGCAAATGCTTTCCTTGATGGTGGGCTGACTGGAGAAACTAATGCTGACACACACCCACACACAAATACCTACATCTAATACAAATACAGCCAATGGTTTACACTCAGACAACATGGCTCCCATCTAATGACTGAAAATTCAAAAATCCAAAATAGAGTGACTAAAATGAGACTAAGCTTAGTCACATTTTAGGTAGTCCCTCTTGTAAGAAACTCAATTAGTCCACTTTTTACACAAAAGCAGTTTGAGATAAAAAAAATATTTGCACTCCATCTATGACAATTTGTTGTAACAAAATTCACAAAATAACCCTTATCTTATATAACTAATATTACACTTATCCTGTAAGATAAAAATACTTACTTTTGGAATGAGCATTAAGTGTCTTAACATGCAGGTCGTCACTGTTACCATGGAACGGTCGGACAGGAGTCACTGGCTCACTGTATTTTATTGTTGACCTGCGCTAATTGTGTGAAGCCAATTGAATGCATTTGCCCTCCAATGGTTGAGTGACCTAGCTCCAAAAACGTGGATATGGTCAACAGATTGAGTGGTGTTTGCCTTGCAGACAGCGGAGTTGCTCGCTCCAGTTAACACTGGTGTCACCAGGAAATGTTAGAGTGAACAATTATAGATAAGGCAAGACAGCAGGAGTGACCTCTGTGTTAAAAACAGGGGGACAGGAGGATACTTAGACCACAGGGAACTGGATGAGCGATATTCTACATGATGAACTGAAGGGCAGAGCCACAGATAACCTGCAATAACATCCGATCCCTTCTGTGGAATATTATTTAAAACGAAAATACAGGCTAAATTAAGACAGTGGTGG